CTTTAAAGTTTATGATTTCAGGCATTTCTCATGCAGAAACTATCTTTAAATCCTTAAAAAGTATTGTTTTAACATTGAAAATGGGGAAAATAACAGCATAGAATGATGTATAGATATATAAAGGTTAGTTTAATGCAATAAAATAGATTTTTAAAAATTTGACATTCCAGCATGTTTTGGCCATTTTCTCGGAAACACGATTTGCGACGAGTGACTGGTTTGGCTTGTCTTTGCCACATATATTGATTATCTTTGCATTATTAACAACTCTGCTTGAATTAATCTAATCTAATTGCTACTATATTTATGCAGGATTTTTAAAATACTTTTCTATATTTTGTCTTATTTCAAACAACTTATTTTTAGTGTAATGCTGTATAGAAATAGATAAATAGGAGGCTAGACACCAATGCAAACATAAATAACATTTTCTACTTACTGTTTCAACAAATATAAATAATTGGTCCAGCGCATTACCATGCTAGCTTGTCCTTATTACTCGCTCACACAGTATACACCAACTAGGCACTGTTATATAGATACTATATAAACCAGATGGGATTAGCTAACCTTACACACTAACATGATACATAGATATGAAAAATAACACACACAAAAAAAAAATAGAATGTTTTTGTAGTATAAAAAGTATGAAGAATTTAATTTGTATGAATGGAATTAACATAAATACTAATAAATATCCTGACAAATTAAAGATAAATCATTGTTGTCAGATAAACAATCAGCATGTCCTAGTTTGTATAAGAACATTTTATTCTGAAATAATCTATTACTCATTTGTTTGGATTTGATTTGATTTTATTGATTTTGATGATTCTTTTAATTTAGTGATTAACTATACTTTCTTGTTAATGATTTTTGGTGGTTGTGGGAGACACTTATTTTAGATTTTTAATTGTGATTTATTACACAAATATTTACTGGATTTAGAGGTATGGTTTAAATTATAGCCAGAGGTGATCTAGAGGCTATAGTATGTCCCCAGATCACCAAAGGCTATAATTTGAACTATGACCCAATTAAAATCCCAGTAAATATTTGTTTTATATACCACTACATAGATTCCAGGCCTATTGACCGACTAGGAGGGCATGGCTGGAACTATTTCCTGCCTTTCAACCAATCAAGTGCCAGAAATCTATGTACTCAGTATATAAAATATGATACACATAAAAAAAAGTGAAAAGTTTTTCCATTATTTTATAATATATTTTTTTGCATTTATACCTATATTTATAATTTTTCCTGTATAGTTGATCTTTTGGTGGATGAGCAAATGATGGAAAGAACAGAGAAGGAAAGAAATGACATGGCATTACTTAATGAAATTCTCAACACGCCGTCAATCCCATTGTATAGTGAGGGTGCTGGTCCATCTGAAAATCTTTCATTCTTTGGTGATTTTGGTTCAATAATGGGTGAAGAGGGAATACCAGAATCGGCTCAGTTTCTGCCGTCAATGCTCCTAGATGTAAATCAAAGTATGGATCAGTTATCATTACAAACAGGTGTGTACATTATGAAAAAGTGAACAATGTTAATATTACATTTAATAAATTCATTAGCTTCCAAGAATTACTTGATTATAACTTTGTTTTTCTTGCTTCAACAAAACACAAAGTTATAAACAAATTTTAATATTAAGTAAACTACTTAAATATCATCAAACTGAACTATCAGTCAAAATATAGGAAAATACCTAAAAAAAAATTTTTTTTAATGAATCAAATAAATTATTAGCTTCCACCAAGAAACAGATTGGGAAAAAAAATAGTTTTCACCGATTAATGGACGTTTCACTACAAAAATCCTTAAATTGGCTGGTAACTTGGGGAACTTCCAAACAGGGAAGATTGTCTAAAACCTCGTCTCTAAGTTTTTTCAACATAATTGAATGTGTTGGGGGTATTGTCCTTGGTTGACATTTGTTCGAAAGTGATGCGACAATTGATCAACTGTAGTTCGCTTATTGGTGAAGGAACTAATGAAGCTTATTGATAAGGGAACTAATGTTAATTTGAATGGAAAACAAACACTTAAAATTGTCTAAAACCTTGAAATGTGTTGGGCTCATCCTAGGTTGACTTTTGTTCGAAAATGATGCGTTGCATATCACCTGTTTCCCTTATTGATAAAGGAACTAATGATGCAATCCTTGTTCTTACTACAAAATTTTCAGTCACCTGGCAAATGTGTGCATAGATTGTTTGTTGATTTAGGATGTATGTTTAGTAGGTATTTACCACGTGTCATGATTACGATATCAAAATATGAATGTGTATCCAAAGCTGATCAACTTTGATGCTTAATTCCCTCATTGGGGAGGTCAAAAGTTGTTAAGTTTCATGCTCTGTCCACTATGACCCAGAACACCACTATTCCATAAGGATTATTTTGATTCTTTTTTTCTTCACTTTACACCCCTAATAATAAAAAAAGAGCTAAAAATAGTCCCTGCAGTGCTGAAACTTTGCTGAGGAAAAAAAAAAATCTATTTCACTGACGAAGGTGTTCAATATCGTAAATACTAATGATGTTAGACAATAGAAGTAAGGAGAAAATATTTTGTAATACTATGAAATACCAGTTTAAACAGACACAATAGATATTATTAAGTATTTTACAATATAAGAGAAGAGCGAATCCTAAAAGAATTTTTGAATATTTGTTTAATATTCTTAAAATATACTGCTATGCGTCTATGAAAATAATGAATTATTTTAACCGACACTTTACACATTACTGTATCCATTTAAATGGTAGTTTAACTTTTTGAGACAACAGCGTGCATGGGTTTACAAGGTTAACTATGTCATTATCATACACAATTAGCAGAAATCATTGTCATGTTTTTGCGTTTTCATTTCCACCTTGAAATGAACCCAGTATGAGGTACAATAATGTTTTCCATCGAGATCAATTAAATCGTATCGTTATTACCAGCGACGGGCATCTTCAAAGGCTGTCATGCTGTTTGGTTCTTCTGCCGATCCATATCGGCGCTGTGATTAGACTGTGACACATCAAATTATCTGGTGCAATTTACTTAAAACTTGGCAATTATTAACACCTTGGATATTATACTTTTCTATTGAACCATCAAGATACAAATGTATAACAACTCAACTCTATTGCTTATCAAATTATTTCTGCTGCTGGCACCTAAACTCTGATACTGTCTGCATTTATTTCACATGCACTCTATGATGACAATAAAGTGATAAATCAATTTATTGAATACAGTATATACTATTGTTATCAGTTGCATTCATGAATATTATGGCACATTTGTGTATAAAATAGTAACAATAATTATAATATTAATAGCAATTATTAATATTCATTTTAGTATTACTATGTTCAAATTAATATTAAAGAGTGGGTATATTTAGAGGTATATATTGTTGGTGATGACCTAAAGAATATGAACTTTAAAATAAGTATTGTAATTGCTAATTTGTATATTTAGGTTAGTAATTAGCTTTCAATGAAAAATAAAACGATTATTTTTAATTATATTTTTCTATTTTAGGCTTGGCTGCAACTTCACAGGCTACCCTCCAACCAACTGAGACAGTCTCTCAGCAGAATGTACAAACACCTGAAACACCAAGCCAAAATTCAGGGCCTAGCAACAAGGTAGATTCCAGCAAGTCTAAAGTCTTTAATAAAGTCAGCAAATCTGATATGTCAGCCTGGTTCGACCTTTTCGCTGATCTAGACCCCTTAGCGAACCCTGATGCAATAGGTAAAGATGGTGATAAGAACCAGGGCATCTAGGTGGAGACCGAATCACCAGGCTGATTATTATTAGTATATCCATTTTGTGTATTATAATGGTTCAGGATGGTCTAGTACATGGGTGTTCAAAACAATTTGAAGTTACGCATATGTCAGAATAACTGCTCAATGATTGGTCGGTTTGCTGATGCACAATTGTCAGGTTTGGTAACATTTATGTCATATTGTGTGTGTGTCCTATTCTAATTACTAATTGTTATTTATTACATAGATGAGTCCACTGGCATTGATTGGTACATTATATTCAAATGTATAGATCTGTGTTTACACCTGATTGTCTCATTGGTAGAGACATAAAAGTAGAAACCAGGTCAGTGGTTCCTCATTCATGTATCATTCCAATGTCCTACACATTATTTTCCAAAATCTTTAATTTATACTGCATAAATTGAAGGGAGAAAGAATCGTGAAGTAAAATTGAAATGTATGTGTATGCCAAGTCTCATGTTGTCCTAGATAAATCAACTCCTATTAACTCTTATACAGTATATGCATTACTTAACGCTGAAGGGGTTTTTCACCTTAATTTCGACTTAAAATTAAATTTGGCTGTTTAAAAGATAAGCTTAAATGGAAAATTTGAATATTGTAATATCGTCATATTATGAATCCACAAATGTTAAAGTTAATTATTTTCATCAAAAATAAGTTTCTGAGTGATGTAAGTGTTTAAACTAAAGATGTTTAAAATCTGAAAAATTTGTTTTCATTCTTCTAACTTTCAGTTTTACTAATACTATTTTTTTATATTTTGTTTCAACTTTCTTATATTACAAAAAATACTGGAGACAAAATTGTATTAAAATGATTTTTTCAAGTGAATAAGAATTTTCATACTAACTGAACACCTTCTTACCTTACTTCTCGTTCAAAAAAAAAACATGAAATAGAATTCAGTGACATCTTGAAGGTCAATAATCACATACTGAAAAAAGATCTTGGTGTTTATGGTGTTTATTATTCTTATGGAATAGTCTTTAAGAAGAACAAGTATGAACTGCTCTAAATTGTAAGACATTCAAAAAGTTTTTTCCTCCCTAAATATCTTTTTTCCTTTTTTTCCTTCAATCAATCATCTTTTTCATTTTAATTTTACGCTCACAAGTCCTTGTAGAAAATCATCCTCTTGGTGAGACAAGCTTCCCATGTTTAAACAAAATTTTAATGATAATCTGTAAATATTGAGAGACTTGAAGAGACACACCCTGTCTTGATGAGCTGGTAAGTCTGAAGAATATAATCCAATCTTAGAATTGCATATTTTATGTATTTAGGAAGGTTATTTTGCTTTCATTTAAAAAATAAAACAAGAAATTATTTTCCACCATTAACAAATTACCTATCAATATTTTGGATAGGCATTTAAAAATGCCTGATAAACCAATTTTTAAGCATTTGTTTTTAAAGATGCTTAAATAAATCAATGAAAATAAATTGTTTTGATCTATTTTTCATTTACAGTTGATAACATAAATGAGCAATTTAATTTATACTTGGGGTTATTTTAATCACATACAGTCCATCAAACAGTAACAAGAATATGCATTTTGTGAGAGAATTGGCTGTACACAGTGCATATCTATAGTTTATTGCAAATATTTTGCGCTTTTTTTTCTAGTATGGTGTTTGCATGTCTCTAAGCAACACATTAATACTCCCTGATCATTCCCCCACCCACACATTTAATTACATACATGTCTGTGTGTCTTTCTTTGTGAGTATGTATATGTATATTTGTAAGCTGCAAAGAGATATAATATTACAACAATTATACACTAGGGGTATTAAATAGACATTAGTTGGATATAGTTCTTTTCAAAGGGAGCTTTATCAATTATGAATTAAAGATTATATGTGGGTTGTTGAAAATATAAAATTGAAAACTTTGTTTTCAAATTGCTTTGTTATTTATTCTGTTAATGGTTAATGTTAATATACTTATAATATTTGTATATAATGAAATAATGAATTGAAAATTGTTTGTTTTTTAATTGAATGTTAAATGGAAATCTTTAAAATCTTAATATATTTATATTGGTATTGGGTTATTTAGTACTACTCAACTTCATGACATCTGTATGTTCATTCTTTGATTTGTGTTGTAATTTTTCAGTAGGTTAAGGAGTTTATTATTGCCCATTTATATTGACCTTTCATTCTGAACTGTAGGAGTTTTCAGTTAATTGTGGGAGTTAATTGCAGATACTTATTTCTGGTATACACATCTTAATTCTGTTAATTTCACCTTAAAAACATTTCGTACTTATCATTAATAATCTAGTAAATTATTTTAAAGGTGAAATAAAGTAGTTTTATTTGATTTAAAGTAGGGCAGATAGTCAAATGAAATATTCAGAAAAAATACTAACTGATATTGATATGAATATTCATTACTTTACTTTTTTTTTTTATTTGCAAAATGAGATTCGCTTTTAAATAGATTAATAATGATGATGAAGGTTGGTGATGCCCATGTTCTTATCATTCAAAATATTGTAAAATAAACGCTGGCCATGTGCTGGCAAACACATTCCTCTTCATATGACCTTTGTTCATATTTAATTATCACTTTCACCTTGCTAATCACTTGCCCTGGGTTGGCTGAAACTGGCCCAATGTTGGCTATCAGTCATCTTCTCTTGGCTATGTTTAACCCCTTGTTAGTAATCACTTGCCCTGTTGGTTATGACTGTCCCCTTGGTAATCACTTGCCCTAGGTTGGCTGAAATTGGCCCAATGCTGGCTATCAGTCAGCTTCTCTTGGCTATGGTTAACTCTTGTTAGTAATCACTTGCCCTATTGGCTATCATTTTCCTTTATGTTGCTGATCACTCATCATCTTTTGGCCATGACTATTTCCTATCTTCCATCATTTGTCCTTTGTTGGTTTCATTCTTAAAATCACCTGCTTATTCTATCACTAGCAATACACTGGCTCTGGATAAACTCACTGTTCACTGGTCCATTGTTGACTATTATTGCTGCCTTATTTGGCTGTGATTGGAAGATGGAAAAAACACAATAGTGCTATAAATACGTAATTGATTAGATATATAGTTACGGACAAGATAACAAAATTATATATTATCTCTTTTTACCTTGAAAAAAATAATTGATTCTAGCTATAGTTAATATTTATGGTAACATTTAGTATTCATTAGCACTTGACTTCCCAACCTTATCTTATTTTTTCAACATTTAAACAATCATGCACAGATGTGCTCTTTGTCCTGCCCATAGGGCTTATATCTAGTCAAGCAGTATTCAATATTCAAAATGGTTTATTAACCATTAGAGTATTCATTACCTTTCCAGGTACCTGTTTACACTTATGCCTTGCCAAAAAACACTCTTGATATTACTAGCATTGTAGTGTATTTGAACTGAAGATTTGAAGCCCAAAACCTAAATCACTACAACATCTGCTTCAGCATTTATGGTCGTATAATTAGAGCCTTTTTATTTTAAAGAAATGTATTTCATTTTAAATTCATTATTCTATGTTAAAGCTTGTGTTGAAATCTTGTTTGTGTGTTTGTTTTTTTATATTTTTTATTTTGTAGGATTCAGTCTTTTCTTACCTTGTATTTCATTAATATCTGACAGTATTCTAATAAAAGTATGAAATTAGATATAAAAACTCATAATATAGTATACAAT